ATGAAGTGTTTAACCTCATCAGGAGTATTTAAAACAATATTCATGTGATGAAAAATGTAACTATTGCAACAGACAACTAACTGGAAATGATACATTTTAAGATATTAGGACGATGAAAATCTTGAGAAATGTGTTGTTGGATTCAATTTGATGAACGTTATGGCAGCAGCTTCTCCATCCTCCTCTTTCCTCTTATGCTTCTGCTTTCTATCTGATTCGTCTCTGTGCTAACCTCCCCTCCTTATTCCAGACCTGCCAGCTACTCAGCTCATCACATGACCAGTCGACCGCTCATGGCAGTTGACTAAAACTAGTCCACATGGATTCAAATTCACTTTGTCTCTCATTACTCATAATGTGTACTGCTACTTCAGAGAAAAAAACATTGGAGTATTACATTTACCAGACAGACAAATTTTACAGATTCAGATTTGACAAAATATAACAATTGAAATATGAAGCATTATTATTCACTATCCAGCATCTTATTAGAATTAAAAGTCCCACCTTGAACAGGCACTGCTCCGATAATGCCTCTCTTTCACTCTTTACTTGAAATAAAAAAGAATAATAATAATTCAGGACTTTTACAATGCTGTATTGTGGTATCAATAGATTTATGATTCATATATATATATTTTTACTATTAACTAAGCCATACACAATATTCGGAGCATATGATTCAGTCAGTGTCGGCAGGGTTTACCTCCTCACATAGCTCAACATGGCGACTAGCAGCTAACGGTGCCAACAGCAAGAACAGCGCAAACAACAGCAACAATGCTGACGGAGATAAAAGTGCTAACCCTGGGGAGGAACCCCACAGTGGCCGTTACTCCTCCGCAAATACGTGGTGAGTTTGGACTGTGTTATTAACGGTAACTTCACCGCATGTGTGAGCACTTTACACGTTATTAGTGTAAAGTGTAGGTTAGTGAGGCCAAAACGTACACAGTTTGAGATGCAGAGGCAGAGTGGTTCTGTTCATGTAGGCTGTCCACTCGTCCTCGTTGACTCCAGTCCGGTTGTATCGTTACCCAGCATCCATGTAGTGTTGGGTCCATCCAACGACGCGCTCGAGCTTTCAGAGGCCTGAAGCTCCGCCCCCACTGGACAAGTGTCTGGTTTCCAAATGCACTCCAGTGTGAAGTAAACAGTTGTTGAGTAATGCAAAGGACATACACACAGACATACAGAGATGCCTTGCTTTATATAGATTATTGTTAAATCCAGTGACCGCTCATTATTCCCATCATAGCTCTGTCCACCTGTGCAGAGGTCTAATCAGCCAGAATAAGTGAAAACACCTGTGTGGGTTTGCAAGCTTAACAACTAATTTAAACAAAACCGTGTCAACTGTTAAGTTGTGACCACCAGTATTCTTGAAAATAAAATTAGAGGCCTTCAACTGTTTCAGGCGGTAAGAATGTTTTTGGCATATTTTCTGTGTGGAGTTATTTTAGTTATTCTAAGAAACCCTAATATAGCAGCTGGGAGGTGATCATATTATCTGAGAAATGTTGTAGATAAATAAATATTGTACCTTACTCTGCTTAGCACATGTTCCAAAGAGACATTTGACATGTTATGTGTATTCATTAGTACAGAGATGGGATCGGGATGTGAAAAATGTACGTGGTGTTATCTGCAGTAATGTGCTGATGAAAACGCAGTGGTCAGCTGTTGTTAGCAGTCCACAGGAAAGATGTATGTGGAGAGGCGGAGAGGCGAGGGGAGCTGTGGGGGTGTACACTGTGTGTGTCACACTGTTTCTCAACTGTGTAAATGCCACATGACACACACTCTGTGAACTTTGAACACATGCAAACACACACGCATATATGTCGTCACCAGGTTATTCAAATAGACAACCTCTAGAGATGAAGAGCGAGAGGTGGCGTGATGAGCAAGATGAAGGACAGAGAGAGAGAGAGAGAGAGAGAGAGAGAGAGAGAGACCTAGTGAGATAAAGAGAGTGTGTTTCACAGAAAAATACAGAAAAATAAACAAAAAGTGACAAGCAAAGGAAGGAAAAGAGTGTGTTTGCACAACAGTAAAAGTTGAGACAGAGATAAAGCACACTCAGTAAAGATTACAGTGTGTGTCAGTCTGTTTGAATCTGTTCAGGGAGCTTTGTCGGTGAACTTATATTAACACATTGTGGGTAAAGAAATCTGTTAACTCTGTCACAATTTCAGGACTCACCTCCCCATTTAGGTTTAAGACTAAGAATTAACAGAGCAGCAATTGCCTGAGGGGTGGTCCGGTCACTGTTCCCTCAAGGTGACACAGAACTTGGTGTCTTGTTGAGTCTTTTCCTGGTGCAGTGCCATGAGCCAAATAGTCTTTATTTTGGGTCACTTATTTTTTCTTTCACTTGTTCAGGCAACAGAGAATCCTAAATATACAGTATAATAATCCTTTTTTTTTTTTTAATCAGATGTTTAGACTGCTTTGTTGTTGTTAAAAACAACACTGGCTCTGTTCTACTCAAGTGTCACAGGGAACCACCATGTAACAATACCAAGACTCTGAAACTGAAAACATTTTTTGTCAAAAATCCAATGTGTCACAACTTAAACTTGTCAAAGTGCAGGTATGGTTTCATTGTGTAGTGGCTGCACTAAATGTTTAAGTTAGACGTAGTGATGAATAAACAGAAAGGGTTTGAATGTTACTCAATCTAAAGAACTATTTCACTTTTCACAGATGTTAAAGGTTGGACATCTGAGGATCAAACTGCTGCGTCTAAAAAAACTCCAGACCCAAAAATCTGCTTCCCAGACTGATTAATGTAGCAGCAGGAGTTTCTGAGGTTGTGATCATCTGTGAAGTTTTGTGTCTCTTTCTGTCACTGAGTCACTTTCTATAAGATCATTTTCTCTCTCCTCCTTCCCGTCTGTCACCCCCTCTAACACTTTTTTCTTCACTTTCTCTTAACCACTGTCTCTTTTATGAGTACACACTCACACACTCTCTCTCTCTCTCTCTCTCTCTCTCACACACACACACCACACCCACACACACACACCCACACACACACACCCACACACACACAGAGCAGCTGTCTACACTTACATTGATTGGGTTTATAGCTTGTTAGGAAAGTGGAGATTGTATTTCAGCTCTGCTCATTAAGAGTCAGCACTGATGTCACTCTGGCCCCTCTTTATGTTATGTAACACACACACACACACACACACACACACTGAGACAGAGAGAGAGGCTATAAAATTATAAAATGGGCTGGAACTGAGCCTCAGACCGCCTTGCGTACTGGCAGCTTTCTGTGTATATGTGCACATGTGACTGTAACATTTCGCAATAAGAAGTTAAACATAAATATACTGAATGCTGCAGTAATAGTTTATGTCCCTTTGTAAACCTGTGTTTCCTGCCTTGTTTCTCCATGTGTGAATACCACCACTATAATAAAACACCTGTCTGATTGAGTAAATATGTTTGGGTAATAATGCTGCAAAGTGATAGATCACTGGATAATGCCGTGAAGTGGTTTTTACACAATTATAAGTCTGGAAAGGACAAAAATCAACTGATATGCATCTAAACACACGATGTCGCAATGTTTGTGTTTCTAAAAAAGAACAAGACTTGAACAACATGGTATGTTGAACATGGTGCAAACACATGAGAAGAGCTTTAGAAACTATTTTGAACTAATACCGCAAACATTTTAGGGCCCGATTTTATTTAATGATGTTGGCAGCGGCTCCAGAAATCTACTGATTTCAACTTTCATATCAGTGCTAAATGTGTTTACAGATGTTAAATTTGTTGTATCAACATCTGCTCAGTTTGTGAGGTTTTATGACATGGTTCATTAAGAGAACCGATAAGATCTACAACCTATTTAGATGCACATTGTATTAAATTATGCCTAAATATTGAATTATTTTCTGTTTTTATATCATCATTTGTTAGAGGCCTTGTGAGGTTTGCAAATAAAAAGCATCAAATAAAAGCTGAAAATCTGCTGACTAGAGACCAAGACGATAAAATATAATAATGCACACCATTTACAGACTTTCTGGTGTTGTTTTCCCAGCAGATTTCCAATTCAAGATAATTAGATTTTGGAAGAAAATGATTGGAAAACAAGCCATGTATCGGTAGTGTTTGTAAGGACCTGGCACTGCTTGAGTCGTAGAGCAGATAATCTAACCAGAACAAAGTTGGCCTTCTCACTATGTACTAACTCTCTGTTGTCAGGTAGAGCAAAGCAGTTTGTTTCCCAGACAGAGTTACCCCCCACACACACTCACACACTCACACACTGCCTCCAAGAACAGAGACATGCCACTAACAAAATGTCACATGACAGCCTTCAAAATAAAGCTCTTGCATAACCACGAGGGCCTGGAAGCTGCTTGAAGAGTCTGTTTACAATGATCTAGTCTGAAGTTGGATGACTTTCTGTGGGCGTCTGTGGTGTGTCTGTGGTGTGTCTGTGTGTGTGTGTGTGTGCGTGTGTGTGTGTGTGTGTGCGTGTGTGTGTGTGTGTGTGTGTGTGTGTGTGTGTGTGTGTGTGTCTGGTAGTATGGGTGTGTGTCCATGCCCCAAAGCATCGCTCTCATCTTATCCCCTCTCTTCTGATGTGCATCAGCTGAGCACAGCATTGTTATTGCACTCGGTTATCACAAAGTGCACAGTACAATTCCAAAACATTACTTCAGCCACAACAACGTGAAAAAAACAAGTTCAAAGTTCACAACGTCGCTGAAAATAGGGTGTTGAGGGCCTGTTTTATGTACATTTATTTGCTACTGACCATCCTGACTGTTATTTTAAAGTCTCTTTCTGGTCAAATTTGTGAAATCGTGTTTGTGAGGAGACACACAAACTCCATATCTAAAAACAAAAACAAAAATTCTCATATGCAGCCTGTGGGCTCTCACAAGAAGTTGTAATTAAACACACACACACACATTCCCAGTCCCACCGCTGAGCACCAAGCCTCAAAATCAACAAAACACAGCATGTGTTATACCAAATATTCTTTATTTCTCAGGGTATAAAACGTCTGTACAAACACGTCTTTCTTTGACTGACGTCCTCGGTTAAACAGATAATTCAGTGTGACCAGATTGCAGCAGCGTGCTCTCTGTTCAAATGTTTTTACATGCAGAAGAAATGATGTTTCACACAGGCTGAGTGGGGTGAGAAGCCCATGTGAGTAAGCTCAGATGTGCTTTAGGGGGTATCAACTTCAATAAAACAATGAAATCTCAAGAATGAACCATTCTGTCTGCTTCCCCAGGCTGTCTGCTTTGGTTTAAACTCACTGGACTTTATACGGGATACTGTTGTGTATTCAATGTGTGGGAATTAAGTGTCAAGTACAGTCTATAAAAAATGGATTTGCCTCCAGTAATCCGAGGTCATTCACATACAGACATTGTTTCATTTTGTATTTGGTTTGTAAATTCCAACACCAAATGAATCACAATAGCTGAAGTCAGCCATTACAGTCATACTCATATTTTCTAATCCACATACAGACTTTGCACCTGTCCCAAAAACAGAGCATTAGCACTTCTGTCTAACCTTCAACAAAACACAGACTTTGCAGCACAATACTCTGCCTACCTAGTGGACGGTCACCCTCATGTCTCTTCTCTGACTCTCTTTAAACACAGTAGTTCACTTTCAGACACCCATCTGTTCAACATAGCAAAGCCGTTCATCTGTCATACTGGACACATACACTGCTGTGGATCAACCAGCCTGGTCTAGGTCTTGACAAGCAGTTAAAAAAAACTTTAAAGCGAAACTATGTCATTCTTGAAAGAAGAAATAACACAATTTTAGTCTTACAAATGAAAAGATTAATTCATTAGAATAGAAAAGCACAATTTTTCAAATGCTTCAGCCTTACTTGGTCTGGTATGACCTGTAGCTTTGGCTAACTTCAGTTAGAAACGTATGACTCTGCATACGCATGCAAGGAATTTGACTCCGGTCTTTCCGTTGTTTTAAAGTATTTAAACAGGAATAAACTAACACAACACAACAGGTTTATATTTGTCTCTAAATAAAACCAGGCCCAAACCACATGCAGTACGCAAACAAACTCACTGTGATGAGAAACTCATGTGCTCTCTATAAATTATACATGTAAGTAGGTAAAACGGATCAGACCTGACAGAGGAAATGCCAGCTGTCATAAGGGTCTGTGTGACCTTTACCCTACTTAAATCCAACATCAGCCAAGACTGCACATAAACAGCAAGACAAGCAACTTATTATGCCTTTTTTTTTCCGAAAGCAAGAAACAATGCATTTGCTATCATGAGTAAAACATCGAGACACAGTGAACCCATTCAGTCGCAGTTGTAACGTCTTCAGCAGAAAACTACCAAACAGCTCCAGAAAAGCATTGTCTGCAAATCTGGAGTCTTAGTTTTACACTCAGGCCTAAAATGAACATTTCGAGTTGAGATACATTTTAGATTAAGTTGTTAGTTCTCTTCTAGAGAACAGTACTGTATGTATTAGTATTTAACTTGTGGCTAAATCATCAGGTCCGTTTGGGTTATAGGACATTTTTGCAGAAAGGTGCGGTAGGAACCAAACTTTGGTGCCGATATCAAGCTGCAGTTGTGTTTAGTGTCTTGGGACACTTAGTAGTGCATAATAAAAATCTTTAAAAGAGAGCAGTAAACAAATGGGAGAAAATATTCCACACAAGTCGATTGTACAAATCCTCTCCTATGGTCATGTTCTGGCGGTCTCATCTCACTTTGCAATAACTAGACGGAAAACACTGCATGAATGCCAAACTGTGAACATTTGTTCAATTTTAACAGAACATATTTTCTTCTGAGCGCAGTTAAATTTAAAAGGACTTATTGTTTGTTGAATTTCAAGGCACATCACTGATCACTCCATTTAGCACCAGTAGAGAAGTGACTTTGAACCACACTCTAGAAAAATGTGAAAGTGAACAAAATGGAAAACAGATTGGAGACACTTGTCTTATATTGCAAAGTTTACAGGATTTTGTCAAAATAAATGTTGTTGTGAAAGGTTTAGCTTGTCCCTAGATTTCTATCTAGACAGGGGTTTCGGTCCGAGTTTAGATCGTCCCAGGGTTAAGAAATGTTAGAGTGAAAATTATTTTCTGTGCTTGATCCATATGAAAGCTTATGATGCACACTAAATAATGGCAGATCTGCCTTGAATCCATTACAGACTGCAACCTGGTTGCACCCTTTTCCTTTCTGCTGCAGTGGCTCTAAAACAAAGAGCCATTCAGATGAAGCCACTGTAGAGAAATAGTTTTAGATTATTGGGTTTTGTTGTCGTTTTAGTATCTACAATGTACAAAGGAAGGTGTGGCAGCTGACTGTTGGACATCCACACATTTTGTGTTTTAGTTTTAGTTTTTATTTCTGCTTTACAACATATGAAACTTTATATATTGGAGAGAGAAGAGGCTGCAGAACTAACAGAGCATACAAGATATAGGACGGACTAAGGGTGTCTAGTATTAAAGCATTATGGATGCAGAATGATAGAATTGATCAATGGTTACAACTGTAATAATAACGCAGAGCAACAGACATGATGAATCTAACTATCGTTCATAATTACTAAGAACAGAGTTCACTGAATATGTACATAGTTCTAACTTCACAGTCTTAGATACACGATTACATTGATAAGCTGAGAAATAAAAACCCATATATTTTTTCTGAGTTATTTTCTGGCTACAAACAGCAGACTTCATTTTATAACTTAAACCCATGCAAAGAGCACTTGGTTGATCTAATTCACACCTACAGTCAGGCTGTTTAAGTGTCTATTCGCCTGCCTGGCAACTTACTGGTTACTGGTTGGCAGTCTACAGTCCACCACCACCACAGAACACTTATATTGTTTAACCAAACCACATTAATAAGGCGCAGACTGTAGAGTCCTTCAGCACTAATGTAGGATAGGTGAGGATGATGAATGACCACGTTTTACCCTCACAGGGAAAAAGACATCAGCATTAGTTATTTTCAAGATATAAGGTACAATATGAGCCGCACACCTCAGCCTCACCAAACGTATTCACTGTCTGGCTGTGTCAGCAGACAGTGAATACGTTTGGTGGTGTTTGGTATTCAACAGTGGCAGGACGTGAAAAAAACGCACGAAAAATCAAGCCAGACATAATTCCATGACAAGTTCAGATTGAGACTAAAATAACAGGTAAACCATGACCCAGGCTTCAGATTAGGTTTATCAGCTGCACCGTGGTAAACTGAGCATGTGACCAATGATTAGCTGTAAAGTCTTTCATTAGAGCAACAATGATCCCAGTTCTAACAAGAAGTTCTGAAAATAAACCACGGGCTGGATTTGTTGACGGATTTCTGACTTCAATCATGGCTGTTGATCATGTCCGAAAATACAAAACTACTTCTTCTTTTCATGTAAATAATGTAAATAAGGACAAATTTCAGTCAGCAGTTCTTTCTAATCATGAGGAAGTTTGGATGCAGTTTCAGTGAGTCAAGCTCCGTTTCAGGCTACATGACAAGCATACATAAATCCATATCAGGTCGGGAAGGTTATTACGAGAACACCAGACTAAACACTATTCCATTATATGTGTTAACCATGGACAACACTTTTTCTTGTTCAAGTCTAGACCGGTCTCATCATAAGCAACATTGTCACTTCCAACATGACATGGAGAGGGTCTCCTGCTAGTCCCAGTACATACCAGTTTAATTCCAGGAGAGGCAGGAGCACCTGCTCCTTCAGATGGATCATACTGGACACAGACTAAGATAGAAACCAGGTTAGAAAAAAGGTCTGTCAGGACTGCTATTTTTTCAGAGCAGGTTTTGTTAGAACCAGGCTGGGATTAGTTGTAAATCTCTTCCATGATAAGACTAAAACACAAAAAGTCAAAAAAAGTAGATCCGTGACAGTCTTACTTTGGTTCACAGCAACGGTCCAGTCAAGGTCCTGCTCAACATCAGGCTCCATCAGAGAGAAACCCAAACTGAAAGCTAGTCCAGGCAGAACCCAAACCCAGCTGAAGTCAACAGAGGATCAGAGTCTTACACCCAAACTGCTCTAGGCCACACAGCAGTACCTTTTCCACCATGACTTGGACAGACTCTTCATCTTGTCTGGTGTCTGCCTTTGCTTTTTTCTATGTTTCTGTTTCCCTCTTGGGTGCTTATGGGAGCTGTAGTTCTGCAGGCTGGCCAGTATGGCCGTGTCAAACACTTCTTTCAAATTCTTTTGGGTCAGGGAAGAGCACTCCATGTAGGACACAGCTCCAATCTCCATTGCACAGTCTCGGGCATCTGCTGGGTCCACAGGTCGCTCCCGGTACTTAGCCAGGTCAATGAGGATCTAAAGAGAAAATGTTAATATACCTTTGTAGATATTGTATCTGCTGATTTATTAGTCAAGGACACTGGGAAGATTATTTTGGTAAGAATCCTACAAGGGTTTTTTATATGTCAGATTTGCTGCAAATGTTCTTATTAAAAAGGAAAAGCACAGCTGTTATTGATAACAGTAAAAGGCCTGTTTAAGTTGTGTAATTCATTGGTAAAATTGTCATTTTGATCATAAAGACGTGTAGCCTCTATTTAATGCTAGTGGGTATTTGTTTCACATTTGTCAGAATTAAGGGGTTATTTCTTTTTGGCGTAAGTCAGATTCTACTCCACCTTGACATCTTCTCGGAGGTCACACTGCGTCCCAACGAGGACGAGCGGAGCGAAGGGTGCGTGTCTCCGGATCTCTGGAATCCACTTCTCAGGAACATTCTGGAAGGAGGCGGGACTGACCACGCTGAAGCACAGCAGGAACACATCTGCACTGGTGTAGCACAGAGGCCGCAGCTTGTCAAACTCATCCTGGGAAGATCAAGAGAGAGAGAGGGAGAGAGAGAGAGAGAGAGAGAGAGAGAGAGAGAGAGAGAGAGAGAG